TTATATTATTATGCTCTTCAAGACAATAAAATATGACCAGAACATCAATATCTAAATACGTATGTAGAAAAATGGAGACGTAAATAAATGGAGTAATTTAATTCGTCATTTTACATATAATCTATCGATATTTTTCAGGAATATTAAAATTATAATATCGTATTCTTTTCGAGCAATTAAATTCTTTTTTTAAAATATTAATAACATCGTGTTTTCTCAAGAACACCAACACAAAATTTTTTTATTTATTTTAAGTTGTGCTTTCATCAAGCACACAACAAACATATAATCTTCAAGAGTATATATATAATATTCTTCTAGAATACTGAGATTAAGGATTTGTTCTATCTTTCAAACCAAATAATAAAATTTGTGCCCTACATGAGTAACAATAAAATATTCTTCTGGAATATTTATATAACGTGTGTTGTGTTTCTTCGAGAACATCAACATCATATTCATTTAAAATAACTATAATTTAAATTATGCTTCTTCAAGAGCCTTGAGTCCATATTCTTTTGTAATATTGAAATTGTAATATCATGCTCTTCATGATCAACTAATATTCTTCTAAAATATTAATAATGTTGTGCTACTTCAGGAACAACAACGAATTATTTATAATAGATAAATATGCAACTAATATTCTTCCGAAATATTAATTATAATATTATGTTACTTTTGGAGCAACAACATGACAAATTATTTATTTAAAGTTTATAGAAGAATATCTAAAAATATTTAATTACCATATAGACATGATATGAATTTATATAGAAAAATTAATTACCAAATATGCATTAGGAAAAAGTCTTGAAAATATGTGCTCTAAAGTTATTCTTTACCATATAGTAAATTATTATTTACCATTAATCGTATCCAATTGTCATAGATGATAACCATGGAAAAATTGGAACAGCAAGTACTGCACTAAAATTCATTAATCTATATAATTAGAACTACCTACGTGGATTGGTGTTCACTATAATATAAGATTTAAATAATAGATTTATTTATTTATTTATTGCAATATTAAAAGTAACCTATTTTGTGAAGAATTTCATTACGAGAGAGATTACATATATAAAATTGGAATACTAAGCACAGTAAGGAAGAGTAATATTCTCAACAATTAATACATATTTGTAAAGCTTTATGATTCTTAATAGGGTAATTGGCGCAAAACGTCCATACCTTTCAAGGTTATTGTGAAAAACGTTCATACCTTTCATTTTTTTGACATTTTTGCCCCTATTTCCACATTTCTTTGCGCTGAACGTCATTTTCACTGTTTTTTGACAATTTTACCCTCCATTCAAATCAAATAAAAAGAAAAAAAAAACAAATAACTAATTGCAACCACAGTCCCAAAATTTCAAAAAATTACAAATCAGTCACAAATATAAGAGGCCAAATATGAAGCCCCATTCCGACACCTTCCGGCCACCAAAACCACCGGACCAATATACCACCTTGAAGCCCTCGTTGGCCTCTATACAGCCCCTCCTAGAATCATCCCTACCTCCATCGGATTTGACCGAAATTTCGCCCCAAAACCAGGCGTTCGCGTCACATAAAACTGTCGGCAACTCCATCTTCGACGACTCCCATCCCAATCCCATCATATTGGTAGACTCCTCTCATCATGGCGCACCTAACCATGGTCACCAAACACCTATTGAACTACCCAATCAATAATTGCAGCCACTATTTTCGCACTCAGTCAACACGCAGACTTCAGAAGCTATTTCCGACGACGGTTGTCGATATCTTGATAGCAGACCACCCCATCCAGATGGCAAAGCTATTCCACCTCTGGGTCTTTCACAATTTGGTACAAATCTTGCGATCCACTCTGGTATAGTTCATACGCAAGCGGGTTTAGATTTCCCTTCAATTGAGGTTTAGAAACTGCTTCAACCTTCAAATCAACTTGGGAAAATAATTACTTAGTGCCAAACGTCGATGGTTATACCGTCAATTCATCCAATTCATCATCCAAGCTTGAAAGCCTATTTCGACCGTATACAAAAACACGGCTCAATCAATTGAAAGGGCTGCAATGCCTAACTCCATCAATTCGTCCAGGGATATTGCAATTTAGGCATAAAAAAAGTGGATGCACAATCAATTCCAGAAATTATAGCACCAATTGATCCAATTTTGCAGCCAAACATCACCTTTGACTGATGAAAAATTGGATGGGGCTTCCCTCCTATATTTGTGACTGATTTGTAGTTTTTTGAAATTTTGGGACTGTGATTGCAATTAGTTATTTATTTTTTCTTTCTTTTCTTTTTGTTTGATTTGAATGGAGGGTAAAATTGTCAAAAAACAATGAAAAGGACGTTCATAATAAAGAAATGTGAAAATTGGGGCAAAATGCCACAAAATGAAAGGTATGGACATTTGGCACAATAACCTTGAAAGGTAGGGACATTTTGCGCCAATTACCCTTCTTAATATGAATAAAGTACATTAAAATCGTACAAACCTCCAATTGTTAAAAAGAGATTCATATGCAATAAATTCCAATTGTAGAATCCAAAAATCACTAAATTTGATTGAAGTTTAAATTACCTTGATGCCCATGTCGATGAGGATGGTACATAACAGAGGTGGAAAGAGAGCTCTTTCTTGTTCTCTCTCTCTCTCTCATGAAGTAGCATTCAATAAGCATTAGTACTAAAGTCAAAAAGCAACAGTCTAGAGAGAGATAGAGAGAGAAAGCAGGCGGTTTAAGGTCCCATGTCCTATTAATACAACTTTTTCTTTGCTGCATTAGCTTAAGAGGATTGAAATTGCAGAGACCTAGATTTGAGAATTTATATGAGAACTAGAGAACACTAACAGAGATAGAGAGAGAATGCTTTGTTACTTTGTGGTGCTTTGTGTGTGAAGAAGAAAAACGAAATTAGACTTTTAATTATTAAAAAAATAAAGATATCGTGCTGATAACGTGTTATAAAAGTGAAGAAAAGAGAACAGAACAGAGAGAAATCAATAGATTTTTGTGTAATTTATTAAGGACCAAAGTCTTGTATTTATAGAGCAGAATCAAGAATACAACAGTAATAATTTCTAAGACTGCAGGTGTATAATTGTCATTCACCTCTAAACCCTAATAAACTTTCATTTTACAACATGAGGAGATTTTATGAAAAGTGATTTTTTGGAGATATGTAGTTAAAAAGTTTTTAAAAAAATTATGAGTTTACATGCAAAATTATCTTATTGAGAGAGTACGATTGATAATAAGTTTAAAAGAATATGTACCGAACAGAGGTTGAACGGAAAATTAATAAAAAATGAGATAGTAATTTAAAAAAAATAACCAAGTGTCCATAGACAATATTAATGAAGAATAAAATGATATTTGAATTTATCTATTGATAACTTGTAAAAGAACGAAAAATATAGAAAAAATTAAATTTCATCGATAATATCGATGACTTTTTGTTCAACAATTAACCATCAAAGAAATGTCATGGTTGCGATCCGTAAAATGCTAAAAAATGGCTTTAAATAAAAAGGAAGATGACTTCTTAGCGACAACAGAAGAAGTACTTTCGTCACTGACAAAAGCTCTTAAGCGAGAATATATTGCTAGAGGATTAAGTCTTTTTTTAGTTCAACGGAAGCATCACTAGTGGCATTAGGACTGTGCAAAAATCAATCCAAATTGCTCAAATCGACCTACCCGACCCAAATTGACTGGTTTGAGTTGGTTTTTAAGTTCTATTTCGTCGGATTTGGGTTGAAAAATTAAATTTGAAGTCGGGTTAGGTTGAGTCTTGGATTATGAATTGAAACCCAATTCAATCCAACCCAACACAATCCAATGAATTGATAAATTTAATACCTAAAATGGAAAACTTAAATAGACACAATAGTGGAGACAAAAGAAGAATTTAGAATTTACAAACATGGTATTTTTTAAATAAATTGATTGGTACGAATATTATGTACAAATGCAAAATAATTTGACGATAAATTAAAAATTAAGGACATGATAATGAAATAAAAATATCCTAAAAAATATAAATTAATTTTCAGAATGAATTCCTTATATAAATTTGAAATAATGGAGATTTTTAAGTGATTTCAAATTTTAAAAATTGCTCAAAATCAACAAAAAAAAAAAAAAAAAAAAAAAAAAAATCAAATCCAACTTGAATTGGGCCCAAGCCCAAACAAATCAACCGAACCCAAACCAACCTGAGCTTAATTGATTTGGGTTGAATTGGGTTGAACCAATAATTGGGTTGGGTTGATATATTTTAAATCAAACCGATCATATTTGATTGGATAAAAAACCACCCAACCACGTGCCAGCCCTAAGTGGCATCGTAGATTGACGATAATGTCATCGATAATAAAAAAAATATCATCAATAATAATTTATTTTTTATTCTTATGTAGTTACCGACCAGTAAATTGGTTTGGGTTGAACTAATAATTGGATTGAGTTGATTTATCTTAAATCAAATCGATTATAATGTCATCGATAATCAAAAATATCATCAATAATAATTCATTTGTCTGTGGATAATATACTAAAGAATAATAATAAAATAATTTAAATTTATTGGTCGATAACTACAAAAGAATAAAAAAATATAGAAAAATAAAAAGTATTCTCACCATCTATCAATGATCGAAGAACTATCGGTTGGTTGCTAATAGCATCACTGACAATATAGTCGATTAATGATATTATCGTTGGTAATCATTATTAATAACTCATTCATTCATCGAGCGTTTCTAAGTTGGAAATAAATATAGTAATTGATTTAAACGAAACACTAACTTTTAAGTAACTTTTTTAAATAACTTACTTTTTTAATACCGAAAAGATGTTTTACCTTACCATCAAATAATACTCACCTTTTACCTTGACGTCAAAAATTACTCATTTGTAACTTTCACTAAATTAAAATTATTTATATTAAACACACTTTTTTACTCAAGTAATCTGTTTAAGTTTAGCCAAACATGCCTGTAAAACTTTTCTTGCTGACCACGTCCGAAGCTTACTTCCCCTCTCCTCGTTAAACCCTACTCCTTTCCGCTTGACCTCTACCGCTATTTCTTCTCCTTCTTTAATCTTCCCAAATTAATACTCTGATAAAAGTCAGATTACAGAATAGTACTGAAGCCACTCAGCCATGTCGGTGAGCAGAATAACAAATCGATTTCCAAGGACGGTGTTAACTCAGTTCCGCAACTCGCTGTTATTTTGCCAATGTCGTGACCACAAATATGTTTCCACTCTGTCCAATCAATTCCTGTCCCCTCATGGCCCCCGTAATACGGTACTACTGTTTTTGACAGTTAGAATTTTGATAGGGTTTTAGTGAGTTTTTAGCGTAATTTTCTGCATTAATTTGGTTATTTGATTTTTTATCCTAAGAATATTTTTCTAATAATAATACGGTATTTAAGAATATAATTCTTATGCTACTTCATAAAGTTTGGCTTGTAATAAGTGTATTGGTTATACTTTAATTGATGATCTTGATATAATAAATTCTGGTTTCATACCTCTGTGCCTTTTGATGCTCCAGTATTGCTAGTTCATTTGAAATAGTTCCTTGCATTTCAGTGAAGAGTTATAAGAGTAAACATATCTAGGATTTTAACCCTAAAATGGTTCTACTTGTAGACGTTAGGCTGCTGCGAATATGGTTATTTCCTTTCTAAGATTTAGGCCTTTCATTTCCAGTGCTACCCTTCTTTTGATTCTTAATGTCTTTACAATTTTTCTTTCTTTATATGCCTTCTATTCGCCTTTTAGAATGAGTGTTACTTCGTTTTTAGCAATTATATTTTTAGGGAGTCATTGATTGTGTTTGTCTGGATTGCTTGCTTGCTTCCTTTGACGTTTCCGCCAGTAGTTTTGGAGATAGTTTAATAAATTTAGGTTTATCACTTAAGGTGGCACTATATGTTGTGCTAGTTCACGCTAGTTTATTGTGCAAGTCATCTGAGTTCTATTTAGCCCCTGTTTGGCCCTCTTTCTCTTTCAATGTTTTTTCTCTTATCTTATTTTCAACCACACAATATTTTATAAAATAATAGTACATACAAATAAAAACTTTTCTTTCTTTTTTAACCACACATTCTCCAAAAAATACTATTTCAATCATTAAATTTTGAAAAGAAAAGAAGGGGGGGGGGGGTTCAAACAGGGGCTTAGTGTTTGTAGAATGCGGGGGGGGGTTCAAACAGGGGCTTAGTGTTTGTAGAATGCATCTGCATGATGGTTCTGGGTAGATAAGTGAAGTGCTTGTTACTTGTGTTTGGTGAGACTTTCAAATCTATTTCTACATTTCCGTTATTTTTCCAGTTGCAATTAGTTTCTAGATTCTGGATTGAACTTGAATTCCAAAGTGAACTCTAACATGGGAGTTATCTTGTGAAACTACCATATGTCTTAGTATGTTAAAATATAACTTAAAATCTTTTACCTGTAGCTCCTAATGCTAACCAGTGGTCAATTTGCAATCAATAGATGCCTAGGTTGCTAGGCTAGTTTGTCTCTGTCCTCCTATGGGGCAGGTGTTAAAATTGATGCTTGTTGGATTCTCAGATAGTTTCATACTCTAAAAGTTGGCTTGTTTTGAATCTTCTGATTTTTTCTAGTATCTCACATTGCTTGTATACAAGTTTCAAAAGTGCCCTTGAATTAGCATCAATACGAGATTTAGTGGCGTTGTGATGTCTTCAAGGTACTCTGTATGATAACCCTATCTTGTATCAGCCAAACCGCCTGCTTTGCATCTCACATTGGTCTCATTTACCTTATTATTATTCTTTTAATAATAAAATTATTATTTCTCCAGAAATTTATCGATAGTAAGGAACTGCATGCAGGTTGTCCCTGGTCAGGTGTCACTGTTGCATCATTCAGCTCTAAATTCATCTGCTTTTCAATGGTTTGGATTCTCATCATCTGCGTCTGCACAGCCCAGTGAAAAGGAGACTGCTCAAACTGGAAATGAACAGGAAGCTAAGGCAGAGGGTACTCCTGCTGATCAAACAGAAGAATTTGTTTCTGATGAAAAAAATAAGTCAGGTTTTAATATGAAACCTCTAGCACATTTCAGACTGTCAAAAGTAGAAGTACTAAACAAATTGTATTTTCTAATCCTAATTCAGATTTGCAAAGTGACCTAACAAGAGATGACCTGGTGAAACTTGTGGTGGAGAAGGAAGAACTTGTGAAGCTGAAAGAGGAAGAGCATGAGAAAATGAAGGACACGGTTCTGAGGACTTACGCAGAGATGGAGAATGCGAAGGAACGCACTAGACGTGAAGCAGAGAACACAAAGAAATTCGCCATTCAGGTTTTCTTTTGTATTTAAGTTCGCATTCCATGTTTCAGAGGGAGCCACAGGTTCCTTGCAGTTCTTTTGGGTATTTGTGTGAATCTTGCTCTAATGTTGATTTGAATTATGCTGCAGAATTTTGCAAAAAGCCTTTTGGATGTGGCAGATAATCTAGGTAGGGCTTCTGCTGCTGCAAGAGAGAGCTTTTCAAAGATTGATACATCTAATGATGCTTCGGGGTCCATTCCTCAACTTAAAACACTTCTTGAAGGAGTTGAAATGACTGAAAAACAACTAACAGAGGTATTATAATTTCTGTCTCATATGTGTCCTTTTCCTTCTTTGTAATTACGTATGTTCCTTTGGCCTGCTTCTATAAAAAGTATTACTTGAGATGATATGCTTGTGTGTCTGTGTTGGGGTAGTTTCGCTCCAATATTGTGGACGGGTAGTCTGGTAATATTAGATTGACGTCAGTACAGGAGGTGCCAATATAATATCAGTAATGCTGTTTTGTTCATCCTTCATCTTCTTTTGACCTATTGAACACAGCTGATTGTCAACTGTTTAAATTCTGTCATATCCTAGGAAGTGTTCGTTGAATTCTCAGATTGTGATGAGCCTTATCATCAACGTCCATAACCTATTAGAATTGTTCCGTACTGTACTTACAAGCTTGTCATCTGCAGGTATTCAAAAAGTTCGGTATAGAGAAGTATAATCCAATTAATGAAGAATTTGATCCAAACAGACATAATGCTGTGTTCCAAGTTCCAGATGCTTCGAAACCAATGGACCATGTTGCAGTTGTGCTAAAGGTATATGAGCTGCAATAAGCACACAACTGTTTTCTCTTTTAAACATTTTATGTAGATATGTTTTTGGAGAAACAGAGCGGCTGGATCAAATTTCTATTACTATTAAACTTGTAGAATTCCTTGTTCTGTTATTGGAGGGTGACATTTTTTGTTACTTTGAAACCTGTGGTTGGGATCAAGACATGGATACCACGGGCTGTACATTGTTCGTTCTGGTTCACGTGGTTGATTGGTTTTAGTTTCTTCTCTTCAGGGCTTTGGTTTTGAATGTCACATGCTTGCATTCTTTCTGAAAGATTGTGAATTCTTGACCTTCCAAATGATGTCTACAAATCCTAAACATGTCTTGTTTAAATGCAGGCTGGATACATGCTACACGACCGAGTTATACGGCCTGCAGAAGTTGGTGTGACGGTGTCTGTCAACATCGAGAAAACAGATAAATGAATCGAGAAAGTACTTCAGGTACTGTTTACAGTGAAGGATAGAACCTTATTTTCTCCTTTTAGATTAAGTTATTGTAGTTTTAGAATGGATTTGGTACGGTTCAAATCTTCATTTGAGTGTGGAAATTTTTTTCCCCGCGGGAACCATAAGAGCCAGTATGAATAAAGGGGCTTGTTTGAGGGTCTTGAACTTGCATATGTTGCGTCCAAGCATGCAGACATTTTTTCTTGAATAGAGGAATATACCACACAAACTTTACCTGGTAGTATGAATTTGTGCTATGACGTGTTCGTGCCCTGTGATGCAATATTATACATTGTAATAGATTTTTAGTTATCGATCATGTACAGGTTGCTTTAATCTAACATACCAAACACATTAAAATAGACTATTGAACACAACAGCAAGTCGTGATGATCATTCTTAACTGTACTTAATTTGTACACCAAGAGAGGAGGGAGAGCTATTGTCAATACTGGATCTTAATTACATGGCAGAGTCTACATGTAGCTACACGATAATCCCTAATAGAATAGTTGGGGCGCATGGGGGTCGGTTTGGACTGTAACAGTTCGTGCCTCTTGAACTTCCATGTAACATTTCTCTACACATCTTAGCTTTCTTCTTCTCCATCCAAGTCGTTTGAATCAGATTGACCTTCACTCACCTCCTGCATAGAAAAAAGAATCTCCGAAAATATTCTAGCATAGCATATTTCCATATCCATAAGCGAGTTCTAAAGAATTGATGAACTGTCACTTCCCTGTAACATTTTTGGTAAGGTAAATTGCACAGTAGTAGATTAATAAATACGTTAGAAATAGAATAGGGATGCATTCGAGCACTAGAGTTTCAATCTACGTTGATTAGTGCAAGGATATCATTTGTTAGATTTGATAGCACTAAAACTAAAATCCCATTCATTATATTGTCGAAACCTCATTCAACGCAGCATGCTAAAGGTGGATTCATATCAAACATTGACTTACTCAATCCAAGCAAAACCTGCCATTAGACTATAAATTATAAAGAAGGAAGAAGAATTCAAATCACCTGAGTATCTTCCTTAGAGATATCTCCAGTGCTGGGATTTTCAAAGATATTATCACTTCCCATGTTTGCACTGACTTTAGATTGATTCTCCTTGCTTTTACTGCCTTCATTGCTAACATTTTCTTGAGCTTCCTTTTTCTCCTTTTCTATTGGAACAATCTACAATGCAACTTGATTAATGACTAAATCGCACGTTTTGTTCGTTATTCTACGCCGTGCAATAGATAAGGGTCCCCCTGCCCCCCCCAAAATTTATCAAGCGTGCTACAAGAATCCACCAAGTACACTCATTTCTTGATTTTTATCAAGCAGAAAATCCTTTTGGTCTAAGGGCACGTTTGGCCACGGCATAAAATTGAACGGTAGTGTCAGTGTAACTAACCCAATTTTAAGCTTGTTTTTCTTCTTTAATCCTCCTTAATTAACTTAAAATGGTAATCTTTTTTTAAACTACAATAACAAAATTAATTGGAAAAAAGAGATCAAGATAAAGATATGAAAATAGCAATATTATACACAGAGAACTAAAAAGGGGGAATTATTAAAAAGAAATTGAGAAAGAAAAGGAGATAAGAAGAAAACCCAACAGTGGGAAAAAAATAATAATAATAAAACCAATTACCGGAGTGTATCGGCAACGGCGCTTGGCCGGTTGATCAGGGTTGGCGGAGTCGGCGGCGGTGGCAGTAGAAGAAAGCGGGGTCCATCGGCAGAGGAGGATCGGAGGGGTGCTTTTCCGTTTGCTATCGCTGTTACTGGACTGAGAACTGACCCACTGCTTCTTCCACTTTCTAACTGGACCATCGAACACAGGCGGAGGTTGGGTTGGACCGTACCTCGAGGAGGCCCGGCCGAGTCTCGTCCCTCCTTCCATTTTCTTCTCTCCGTAGTTTTGCTCTCTTCTCACTGTCGTTTTACGAATAAAAAAAGGAAAAATATGTGGATAGTGTTTGAAGCAGAAATATCCTGAAGAAGTGTGTGTAGATTTTGAGAGATGTCGCTTTCTCGGAGATGCTTTGGAGGTATACGAGGTTCTTGAAACAACACACCTTCCCCGGCGCAAAGGGTAAACCTTTGATCCTTTTTTTTTTTTTTTTTCCCCTTTGATGAAATTTTACATATTTACCCCCGAAAAATTTAGTGGGACAACTGTCCTACACTTTGAAGATACCGTACTTCGGCCGTCGAGTTAGTAGGATTGAGAGAGATTGTGGATTGAATGATTCAGGGTCGAACATAAGGCTCAACAATTGTAGTTAACTTCTTGATTCAATGTTGTTTCTGTTGCGGTCGACCATCTTAGGAAATGGGCTATTGATCAAAGGGTTGATTTTTTTTATAAATTATCTGTTGGATTTAGATAAGTAGTTGCTCGATCAAGATAATGGAGAGGATATGTCCGACCACAATTCCATGGCAAATGCATTTTGATGGCTCTCGTCCTTCAACTTTGTTCCCTTACCAGCTTGGTAACAGTAGTTAATTTGTTTGAATTTTGAATGATTTCGTACTATTTTTTCTATGTTCAACTCCGGGCTCCAGTCTCTTTTCAAATACTTATCGATGTTAAGGCAATTGTTAGTTCGGATGTAAAACAAGTATGGGAAGAGTTCACAAATCAGGTGTTAAGTATGCATAATTCAAAATCCAGTTACAAGTTTCATTAATGCAATAATCAAGTTTTCACTAATTAATTAAAAATATTTATTAAATAATAATATTAAAGTCACGGTTATACGATTAATGGTCACAGATTCACAATTATAGCTCACAAATTTATTTACCGATCGCATCATCAAATTAATTGATCACAGATTTTTTCGAGGTCATAAATCACAATTTTGATAGCTCACAAATTATGTCGAAGTCATGAATCGAAAAATTATAGGTCACAAATGGTCACAAATTCAAAAGATTATAGGTCACAAGTCACATATTTTCAAATTTGATAGTCACGTATAGCTTTTTTTTTGTCACAAATGATCGAATTTTAAAATCACAGGTTAAATACTCAATCACCACCACCAACTCCACTATCACCACTGTCTCTTGCAACCACCCTCACTCCGTCGCCACCAACACCACCACCACAACACCACCACCAACAAAATAGTCGCTACCAGATCCATCGCCACCACCAAACACACCGAAAAACCACCACCATCACCGTCTAAGCAACACCATCGTCGCCACCAAATCCACCACCAACCCCATCGTCGCCAACAATATGGACATCACCACACTGCACCGCATCGCACCGCAACCACCATCCAACAAAAAAACCCCAAACCCGCCACCTCCACCATCTCCCGGTCGTCGTCACGAGAACCACCACCATCCCCATTCATCACCATCACCAAGGCACACAACCACCACCCACGGGCCACGACGTAACAAAAATTCCCAAACCTGCCACGCCAAATTCACCTCCTCCCACGTCATCACCGTTACCATATCCACGCAGAAGCCAGGCAAATGCAACGACGCAGACACCGACGAGACCACGAATCACTGCGCGTTTATTGACGAAACTACAGATCTACGAGTAGAGGCGTAGAGTTGCACGAAGCATTGGTTGCAACTTCGATGCGCTTGGCGTCGAAGAGAGAGACGGTGGAGACGACCTAAAGCCATCGCCTGCAGATTGGAAAGAGATAGGAATTGCACGTCGCAAGCTTCTGCGTCGCTTCCCATGCCGGCACCGATACCTCCCCATGATGCTGTCAGGCTCCCTTTGTCGTCGATCGCAGAGTTTAATTACTCGCCGACGTCAAGCAACGAGAGAGAGGATGAGAAAGTCTTGTAATTGATGGTGAAGAGATTAGGGTTTGAAATTTGAATTTGGTGGATTTAATTTATTAAACCTGACGTGAATAATCAAACTTTGAACCTGATTTTTGAATTGGAATCTTTAAAGATCTGGAATTCTGTAATTTCTACAAGTATTCGTACTAGCAGATGTCCATTTATCGCATGCTTTAGCCTAGAAGAATAAGCTAAAATTTTACAAAGTATAATCTTGGACAATGTTGAGAAACTCGAAGGCATCCTTGTAAGAAATGAAAGTGACTAGGTAAGGAGAGAACATTGGAAAATTCAAAATATGGGTCTAGTTTGGTTGTAAAAGCTCTCTATTGATTAAACGATAATACAATTACTTAGAATACTATAAGAATTCATTCAATTGGAAAGCCCACCAAGGAATCCTTTATAATCACTTATATTCCCAAATTTAAATACATCAGTTTGGTCTCTCAGTAAAAAAACGGATGCAAAGTTCTGGGGTTCTGGGCAAGCCAGTCCCAACAGGTTAACCAAACATGGAGCTGACAACGAAAATGGCAGTCTAAAACCACTGGTAATGAACTTCATAAAGACAAAACGCTAATGGGCTCCCATGAAAATAAGCAGAAGGCAGTTTCAAGGACAAGAAAAGCAACTGCAGCAGGAGATAAGGAATGTGTAATATGTGGTACCAGAAAGTATTGCCCGAGAAAACGAACAAGATTTTAACCATTTTATTCTACTTCAATACTGCATAGCGTCATCTAATCCAGGTTCCAGCAGAAGCTATACCAGTGGAGGTGATTTTTACTTGACAGCGGTCTAAAAGAATCATCGATGAAATGCATGAAGCCAAGAAAATTATGGGCTGCCATGAAAATAGGAAAAAAGCAGTTTCATGGACAAGAAAATCAGCAGCTGCTTTTGAAGAATACCTGTAAGGTGGTAACCCTGGAGGATTGGATTTTATCTTCGCCAGATTTGAGTACGTGGAGGTGATTTACATGTATCTAAACAAACTTCTAACAGAGTCCATCCATCATTTGATGGAGAACGTGAAAATTTCGAGCCTAATTCTAAAGCAAGTTCTCCTGTGGATACTCCAATGGAGATTAATAAAAGCAAAAAAGGGCAGCTGGAGAATACCTCATTATGCAGAAACAAAAGCGGAAAGATGAAGAAGAAAGTCAGCTTTAGAAAACCAGAAGTAGCAGATGTATTCTTACTCATATCACCACAGACAAACTTGTGAGGATGAAGAGAATAGAAGATTCCTTTTCATCAGAGATTCGTCTTCTTCCATTGTACTCCTATGATCAAATTTGACGAGAAGATGTATTGAAAATAAAGCAAACATGACTTGTTTGGTTACTTGTGTGTTCCTGGGTGTTTTATAGTAACTATGTTTTTGCTTAGGATTTTTGAAATAGGATTTCTGCCTGTGTATATGTCGGGAAAAACAGAGGATAATGAGAGCTGGCTCCAATCAGGAGCAAAAGAGCAACTAAAAACCAAATATGATCTCATATACACATTGGTATTTCCTCTTAAAAAATCTGCAAAAAGAGGAAGAAATAAATATCAAATAAAAAATTAAAAAGACAAAACCCTTGGCCGAAAATGATATCTTTTTATTTTACCAACACTTTTTAAATAATCAGAAAACAAAGGTAGAAGACAGGCCTGTCACATTTACATCCAACAATATGTACACCCTTTGAATTATGAGCCCCTAAAAAAGGTCCTATTAGCATCCCTGGTGGCGAAATGATACAGACTAGACTACAACTAGAGCTAATACAGAAACTGAATTCTGCTGCATCAAAGAGACCTGCCACAAACAATAGTTCATGTTAAAAGTAATTTGAATGATTCATGTATTCGTTCTTTATTATTTCTACAGAAAATAGGGTGAGAGAGTGAGAGAGATCTGTTTGGCGATCGTATAATACAATCACAGATTCCATTCATATTGAAATGCATTTAAACTCCTGCCATAATATGTGGGAAAGCCAACTTTAAATTTACTCAAGTATTATCAAAGTGCTATCTAGGTTAAGTATATAGATATGGTGACAAAGTTTCTTCAGCAAATTAGATTAATTCTAATCACTCCTTGATTCGTCTGATATCTAAATGTATGATTCATTTATAATTTAACATCTTGGTTTTTCCTATTTTAAGCTAACAGAGTGTATGATTAGGATATTTACAGCATTTTTTAATTTTTTGCTCAAATCGGTTGCTTGTCTTAATGACTGTGCTGCCATGTAGAAAAAAGTTGCTTTAAATACACCATGCTTTTACAGTAAAGACTTATTATCAGACAAATAATGCAATGAAAGTACCTAATCAAAATTTGAGCAACAGGTAGTGCAACAGAATGGAGAACATTGTGACGAAGTTGCTTTAAATGCACCATGCTTTTACAGTAAAGACTTATTATCAGACAAATAATGCAATGAAAGTACCTAATCAAAATTTGAGCAACAGGTAGTGCAACAGAATGGAGAACATTGTGACGAAGTTGCTTTAAATGCACCATGCTTTTACAGTAAAGACTTATTATTAGACAAATAATGCCGTGAAGTACCTGATCAAAATTTGAGCAGAAGGTAGTGCAATAGAACGGAGAACATTGTGAAAATGGTATTCTAATCCATAATTAACAGGAAATGTCACGAAATAGCCCTTTTGATTCATCATAAATCCATCTGCACAAGAGATACATGAATGGATTAAAGTAGATGGATGGGACAACTGATAAAAAGCAAAAGAATAGCCAAAGGCATGTTAAAAAGCCACCCCAATCAATGCTAGTAAAGAGAATAGAGATGCAACAAACTACCCATAGTAAAGAGAATAGAGATGCAACAAACTACCCACCACACATTTTTTCTCGTCCCCCAAATGGGGGAAAAAAACAGTATGCATCCAAAGAAAAGAATGTAAAATGTAAAAAGCGAAGGTAATCAATAATAGTTGGAATAGCTGCTGCTTGTAACAAGAGAGCCGGCTCATTTTGGATCCACTAGATGCAATTGTTGTTGCAAGTAAACGTTCATCATAACAATCAAACTGACTCTTCAGTTATCTCTCCATTCTTTAATGAAATAAAGAAATATTCAGCTAAAATTCCACACCATAATACAATAGCGTCCATGGTCAACATCAGAGCAGAGAGCCTACAGGCAGAACGTTTCCGTTCTATGTATTGGAGGAAGCACAAGTGAAGATACAGCAGGGAACAAGTGACATGGTGAATTCCAGACTCAGTTATAAAGTGATACATAGTTTCCACAACAAGACAAGTGGCATTTTAATAGTTAAGTTCTTCAAGATTTCGATTATCACCAAACTGTATTATGCGAAGATCGGACTCATTACTCACAATCAAGGATTGACCACTTGATAAAGCTAAATGACATTGTCTAACAATGTTTCCCAGAAGCGTGCACCGATGAAGTTTATTTTAGAGAAATGTAACTGAGAACTGAAATCAACATAAAAGGGTCATAGGCGCACTTGCACAGATAAAGTGGCTCCAAGTGATCATTTGGCTGCGTCCTTGATCGAGCTCTCCTTTCGCTTTCTTCAGCAAACTTTCTTGGAGGAAGGACTTCGCATGGGCTCTGTATTAAGCCAGCCATTATTTCGCTAAGACGGGTAGACTCATAAACCTGTAAAAATAGAAAAAAGAAATACATCTTATCATAGTAATAAAGCAGCAATTCTCCTTACCAATAAGGAGAAAAAAAATAGTTTAATCTAGGATACGGAGATACGGCAAAATATATTTTTTCAAACTACCTTCTATTAATCAGAAACTTGTATACTTAAGTGGCTGTCAACCTCGTCTTGTGTATTGTGCATTTGGATATTCATGACAGGATATTCTTAAAATTTCACATATAACATTCCCACTTTTAACCCCTTTCCTAGAAACTTGTCCCAGCCAGAGGAGCCATTTACTTTGAGATGGAGAGTAGATGCTGTTTTTAGAAAATTCTACTATTCTCCAATGTACACCAATAATAAACTTTCTCATTCTTTAAGCTCATTTCAGTTCAAAAAGGATCACCTGGGATCATTAAAATTTCCACCTAATGAAGCCGTAACCATTGAAATGGACCAATATAATGTCGTTTATTGGTGAATTGAGAAAGACAAGACCGTGTTGTTTCGATCAAGTACTATCTTTTCTTCAGATACAATTCAACAAATAAAGTGAGCTAAGGCAAAAATAAAATAAAAAATAGAAAGAATAAACAAATAAACCACCTCACTGCTTTCCAGGCCACATGGACGGCCAACGGACTCAGGCAAATCACCAGGAAAGTAACATCGATTGACTGATACCCACTTCATTCTAGTATTTTTATCCTCCCACATGACCTGCAGAAAAAAATGCAAGAGTTTTGATGTGAAATTCATGGAGACATAATTTACCAAACCTATTGTATTCTTTCACAACTAGAAAAACAAATGACAAGGAGTTCAACATTTCAGGTCTGCTCGAAGTGCAGTAATAGACAAGCTATTTTGCTTGGGCTCGGGGGCGGGGGCGGGCGTCAGATAGTACATATCTAGGAGCCTGATCTTTTTCTAAAATCTAGAATATGGAGATACAACTAAAAGGATCCAAAATTTAGACACGTACGCAGATACATATTACAAAATTATAATTTGTTAGAAATTCATATACTGTTAATTGTAGATGCATTTTAAGATTATAAGAAACACGTGTACTTCCTCCAAAATGGAGAATCCGAGGAACACAGTCAAAGGGCCAAACTAACAATCACACTGAATAGATCCATCTCAATCTATATGACTTAGTATTGTGGGTACACTTATACATCCTATAATCAAGGTTATATTTTGCAAAATTCAGAATATAAAACCAGTAAGCATCTGATTTGAGGTCTTCATCTTCATCATGAAGTGCTCTGGTATTAATCACAATTGGTCACGAAAAGTTCTAGAACCATATAACTTCTCCCCTATCCTGGCTCAATCACAATCAGATCCAAAATGTTCAGGAAAAAAAGCAAAGAAAAGAAAACTTGTTTTTGGTTGATATTAAATTTAACTGAATGTGCTTAGCAATCACACTGAACTACTCCACTTGAGCAAGTTCCAAGGGTTCCCAAATACTATCTGTACCCATGCAAAACTTAGCCTGTTAAATGCTGGCAAAACTGACACACATCACTCTAGCAAGGCCTCCTTATCTAACCGAGAGTAATTATCTTGAAAATTCTGTGTAATTTGAAAATTTTATCAAAATCATAGTCTCATGAGAAATTAAATTGTTCAATGATTGATCACCTGAAGTTTTGAAGGAATTAATTTGTCATTGTCAAAGAGAATAAGAACATAATCCAGGAGTTCATGGACACTTCCATTGATGCAGCAAGATTTATAATATGTTTTCTCATCTGAAACTTGAATTGCATCCCCAATCCAATCAACAGCATGCAATCCATCTGGTGAAGATCTACCCTGTTCCGTATTCCCAGCCATGGCAGTCAAAGTTTCTGCAAGGTTGTCTTGTAAAACTTCCTGTTCATTTAGTTGATCTGATTTACAGTTCGAAGTTTCTATGCCATGAGAGCATTTGGAATCCATAGGCATAACATGATTTTCAAAAGATATCTTTGGCAGGCTTGCTTCGTTGCTTGGAAAACTTACTCCAGTACCATCTTGTGCATTGCCAGGAGCTTGTAAGTCAATGGACAAACTGGTCTCTGACTTTGCAGGATCATTTGATTTTAATTCAACCAGTTCACTGTCACATGATTTTCCACCTGATGAGCTTGTAAGTGAAACACAAGTGGCACCGGAGGGTTTCATCAGATTATTTTGGCAAGTTCTGGAAGATATTTGGTCATCAGTGTTTGCCCCATTAGAGTCAATATCATTACCTTGCATTTCTTTAGCATTTACTGTAACTGGTCCACTTGGTCTGGACAACAAATGGCTATTATTAACGCTAATGCTATCAGGAGGTACATTCTGCATTGAAGAGTTCCCGTTGACCATTATCTTTGGCTGACTGAGCTCATCTGAAGCCGCAGCCTTCTTATTTGAACTTGATGGAACTGCTGCTGCACTGGAAGACATTTTTGGTGCATTAATGTTTCTCATGACACGACCATATTTTGGGGGCAACGGTTTCCCATTGCTTAGCAACAAGCATTTTCCGCAATGCCACTCCCCTCTAGGAACTCCTTTTTGATTAGTTGTCTGGAGGCATCTTAAGTGAAACCCTTTCTCGCAGGCATCACAAACAAGTATGCTGTCTACCTCAGTTAGGGTATGCATGCACATCTGACAAGTCAAAGCCTTGTTCATGTAATCAATAGAAGGAGAATTCCAAGTAGAGTGCTCTGAAAACGATGGATGCAATACTTTCTGAACAATTTTACAAATATCAGCATGACTCTTGCCTACAGTAGGTGCCTGAATGTTAGAGCCTTGTACATGCTGTGTGCTTGGAAGCGTGTTTGTTGTCTGATTGACAATTGGTCTAAATGCAGCCACTCCCGCACCCGATCCCTCAATCTTAACAGACATATTTATGGGAGCCTTATCATCCATTCCACTTTTAGCTGATGAGACAGGTTGGGATTGCACTGAACAAGTTGGAGTTCTGAAGCTTGAGTTAGCAGAGTAATTTGCTGCAACATGAAATAATAGTTAGTTGAAGATACATATAAGAATTGTGACAAAACAGGAAATGTGAACAGAATGTAACCGATTTACAGCAAAAATAAGCGTTCTGGCACGCATTAGCTTTCAAGAAGATAATCATCCGCTTTGAAAGCTGCTGCTAAAAATTTATCTTTTTCCAATAAATAGAACTTAACACTCAACCGAGGACCTTCTTTCACAAAAGAATATGCCACACAAGCCGTGATACACTCTGAATGAGAACCTCACAATCAAATATTTCCACAATATTCTTAAGGAAACAGATCTTTAACTATCATTCACAATTAGAAGCAAGAAATTGGCATTACCTTCAACTTGTGATGGGTGGGAAGAACCATCCGATCTTCCATCTAATCTAGGATGCGGCCCATCAACTCTAGGCAATGATGCAGGACCCAAATGATTTGCGGGTAATGCACTGGAAACCATAGGTCTTATCTCACTACTAGGAAGCTGATAAGGCGAGGATGTAGAATTTGCTTTAATCAAATGACCTAAAGGTGAAGCAGATTGGAAACTTCCAGAAGACATGCGCACATGACTTGGTTTATCCAACTGAGATGTTCGAGCAGTATGTGATTTACCACGGATATCAAGGGCTGCAGAAGAATTCATTTGTGCATGTCTAGAAGTATGTGGGGTAGATGCAGAGAAATCCTCTAATTTCTCCATCTAAATCAAGGAGTGATAAGACAGGAGTAAACATCAGCATAAAGCAATATACACAATCTAATAAGCAGTAGACAAGCAGCAAATGCAAGACAAACAATCGTATGTACTTTGCTCCACAAGGCAGCATTCACAAATAAAACACATCTAAAGAGATGAATATCCAATCCCTCTAATATCTGTAAGAGATTAAATGATTTGCTGCAAGAACATTATGTAGCGTCTAAATAAACTGCCCAAAATTAGTGCTCCAAAGTTCACCAATGTACACCAAGGTGAGAAAATCCTAACAAAAATGCATGACTCAACAACACCCAAATAACTGAATAATATATTTTAATCTCATGAAAAACATCATGCAATGACCTATATTATACAGAGATCAGATGGGACCATTTTCAAAAGCATGGCGAAATAAAATTGGAAAGCAAGTAAAATGTCTGACTGCATTCTCAATCATCATGTCGAAATACTTCATTTACTTAGAACCACTTTTTCATAATTAAAGCAGTCTTCTCACCTGCAAGGCCATTTACATTACTCAAAATATGGTTCATAACATAGATAATGACACATGCAGTATATGAAGTCGCTCAGACATAAGAAAGTTAGATGGCCGTGAATCCATATCATTCTCTCTTGTTACTATCATGTCATAGATCTCATAGTTTATTAGATAATGTGTGAGTATGAAATAATGTTGGGTTGGCATTTTGCTTCCAGTCACCTGAACCTTTGACGATATCATACTTTCACAGTATACCTTTCAAACAATTTTTCCTTCTTTGTAACCTATGCTGTGCCCAAACTTCTCATATGTTGTAACATGTATGCCAATAATCAAACTCATTAGAGCTTTATGTTTGTATTGTCAACCATCATAAATTCCAAAATTAACAGTATTTCCGTTATGGGCGTAACTTCAATATTTGCACTTAATTGCATATAGACCCCATCACAAATTAAAGTATAAAGCACAATAGAAGTGTGATTTGCTAATTTTTTCCAAGATATATCCGCATTGGATCTATATTTAATACTTGGAACAAACTAATATCATCATAAAAGAAACACTACAGACCATACAATTCTCAAGATTCTTATTCTTCCACTCCAAATTTTTGAGATAGCTTTGGTTCAAATTATAACTTCACTCACTTAAAAAAGGTAAACAATTAAATCTAATGAAGTAGATTTGACTGAATAGTTCCGACGACTTCGGTAAGAATCCGCCAGAATAATTAAATGGAGTTCCCCGGTAAAGTCGAAACAGGGAAACAAAAACTTATAGAAAAAATCGTGAGAACGGAAAATACATAAAAAAATTAAAAAAAAAATGTGGAAGTCCAAAAAAGAAACAGGTGAATATGGATGTAAAACAACAATATCTGTTTAATAGAGTACTTTCTTCAAAACAATGGTAAAAAAAAGGGGAAGTCCATTCATGACAATGAAAATGCTTTATCAAGCTTCAGTGCTTAATATAAGACAGTTACACAAGAAAACTGACAAGCACTTCCAATGTATAATGAAAGTTTACAAGTATTTATCACATAATACACCGAGTAGAATACACTGGTCAACTTCCACAGTATCAAATGACTTTTCCAGGTTCCAATAAATCAACCACTTCACCTCATAATGTACACCAGACCAAGGAAGCACCTTAGGAAGCTGATTTTTTTTGGGAAAGCGGTCGACAGCTAGAAGACAATTCATAGTCTTCCCTCTAACCAAACTTCACATTATACCAACACCCAGTATTCTTAACTTGTTCATTCTTAATTATAATCACCATAACTGGTCAATTGAGTAGCCTACCAATTCCGAATTAAAAATCAAACCAAAAGGAGAAAAGAGAAGAAAAAACAAACCTGTCTTTTAGAAAGCATCAACTTTTCAGCAATTGATATTTTGGGAGGACGAAATTCTAGCCTCTGTTCTTTCAACTTATTTAGTCCCAAATCCTCAATCATACCTCCAAAAGCATCTCTCGGGAACACGTCTTTAGGTGCAAAACCATCGCATACCTTCGCCAACCTGCCCCGGGCATCCGCCATCAAGTTCTCCTCGATCTCGGTGGGCACCCTTCCTCCCCTCATTTTCCCCATCGCCGCGAGCACCAACACCGTCTCAGCCACCTTCTTCATGTTTCCAATCAATTCCCCTCTTTTAATTCTCTTTGCCGGAGGACCCTCTTTCGATAGCCCCACATCCCCTTCCGCCAGTCTCTTCTTGCCCAGGGGATCCACTTTCGATAACACTACATCCCCTTCTGCCAGACTCTTCTCACCCAAACCAACCAACCTTCTTCCAGATTCAATCTCCACCGTCGAATCCATCTAACAAAAACCCTAAGAAATCATCACAACCCAAACCCCATAACCCACGTCGTTTTGAAAGAATTAACGGCAGAACCAGCTGCTTTTTGCACAAGTACCTGCAAGAAAGAGAGAAATAACCCATCTTGGCAGAGAGAAAGCCCTAGAGAGAGAGAAAGGGAGAAGAAGAGAGACCGAAAGGGTAAATTTTTAGAAAAAACTAAAATTAGAATCCTTAAAAATATGAAAAACACACCTTTTAGCGGGTAATTTAGCCACAAAACTTAGATGGTAAATCGTATAAGTAAGTCAGCTGTAGAGAGCGTGATGGGTTCGGGCAAAAACTTGAGCAGAACGAAGAGAGAGAAGGGGAAACGTTTTAGAGAGAGAAAAAGACGTGTATAAAAATTGGCGGATTATTTTTCTTTTTATTTTCTGTAATTACTGTTGTTTATAAACACGAACTTGCACGATTCGGCTTCGTGCTACCTCCAAGCTCTTATGACACGTTTGCCTTTTTTTTTTTTTTTTTTTTAAAGAGCCTTTGCTAAATGCAACTGTGATGTGCAAGTATAAAGCGTATCAGCATCGAAATGCTATCGAAGTATTCAATTTCTCGTAATGAAGAACAAAATGAAGGTAAACAATAATAGAAAGTAAAGAATGAACGAAAACAAATGCAAACTTATAATAAAATCTAACGTCAATGAATACATGCATACAACGTAAATGTTCGGTAACGCTCAAGAATACATGCATGCATCGTAAAAGTAGCTTTGCCGCATTTGAAGAAAGATGCACGAAATAAAGTGTGAATCTCTATCAAAAACATCATTCTCGTTAACCTCTATAACTATGAGAAAACAAAGTTAGCATCGTTTTTAGGTATGTGACATACTTATAGAGGTGTCCAAAAATCTTAGGATTAACGAAGGAATTGTTTGAAATATAGATGATGGAAATGAAGAATTTAGGCTTAATTATTTTGAGTTTGAAGGTGAAGATATCATTTTATGATGCAAGATCCATTGAGAACTTGTATTGGAGTTTGTCATTGAGATTAAATGATAGTTAATACAAGAAATTGGGAACAACTCAATGACGCTATGAAAAATTTGCCACAAAAGTTGAACCTCTTCAGTTAAATCTAATTGACTTGAATCTTGTTATTCGACATTATTGTCGACACTCAGCCCCTGCTTGACCCCCATTACTTGAAAATGGAAATGGGGAGAATAGTATTTTTCAAATTGAGAACTTGGATTGGAGTTTGTCATTGAGATTAAATGATAGTTAATACAAGAAATTGGGAACAACTCAATGACGCTATGAAGAATTTGCCACAAAAGTTGAACCTCTTCAGTTAAATCTAATTGACTTGAATCTTGTTATTCGACATTATTGTCGACACTCAGCCCCTGCTTGACCCCCATTACTTGAAAATGGAAATGGGGAGAATAGTATTTTTCAGAAAAATGAGTGGTTGAAAAAGAAAGAAAAATTTTCGATTTACGTGTAATATTATTTTATGAAAAATTGTGTGGTTGAAAATAGGTGAAACAAAAATGGAATGTAATATAATTTAATTTAATGGGGATCAAACTAGGGCTCAAAGTTGAGTCGACTGTAAGACTTGAATCTTGTTCCTACACAAGGATTTCCTTTTCCTTTTTTGGCATTAATTGTCATTCAACACGATAAATCCATAAAGGGTTTTTCGGACAATGCTATCGACACATTTGTATGGCTATCTGTTTTCATAAATGGCTTAAAGGAAGAGGACGATAGTAAATCCCCACAAGAACATAGAAAAAGCAAACAATTTCTTCTGGAGATTCTCTAAATAACTTCTGCTATTATGGCAATAAAAAACAAACAAAAAAAGTTTCTGCACACCCTGCATATGGAAGTGGGATCAAATTTTGTCTATACAAATGTTCTTTGGCATATAAGTAACTCAGTATTGTTACAAAACCCACAAAAGAGAGAGAGAGAGAGAGAGAGAGAGAGGAAAAGAAACATGATCCACCAAGCAAGATGGGATTTCGAATGATTGTGGTGGTCCGGGCGACCGCCATCAAGACGACGTGCCATTCTTTCAATCATTCGAGGAGCTAGTCACTGCGAGTCAATATCGCTAACCTCCCAGCATCTAAAGACGACATCTTCACCATGCAACTATAAGTTTTGATTTTCATCGACCCAATACATAAGCATAGGAAACTAGTATATCTTCACAGCTTCAGCTCTATAAGAAATAATCTGGAGGCGGCTTTTTGGCAGGCGGTCCTCTTGATTCCTGCATTTCATCATAAACTGACTTACACGAATTGAGCTGAAATATGATTAGAAAAAACGACCCCACAAGTTGTAATTGCATGGATTTGAGGTGTAACAAGTGATAAAATCCTATTTTCATCCTTCTTTTTAATCCCACTTTTAACAAGTAAAAATCATCGTTAGCCATTCAACTTATACCGAGGAGTTTTATTTTCATGAACTAGAAGAGAGAGCGGCTACATAATATTGTGGTCCCTGGTTCCAGTCTTGAGAGAAGCACCTTAAAACTTAATTTGGACAATAGATCCAGGTTTAATAAAAACCACCCAGTTCAAACATTAAAACCAGCGTTTCGAATGGTCCTTGATCAATGGTTCATTGAAGCAAACTCAAACTGCTTATATCGGCATTTACAGGGTTCTGCGCCACACAGGACGGTCCAGTCTAGTTTTGATAACTGTGAATACCCGTGTTCTTAATCTAAAATATAAGCAGCTCCACATTCGTGAGTTACAAGCCTAGCTGAACAAATTTTAGAGAAGTATCAACCGAAATAATACTGTCAAAACAATTATGAAATTCACATGTACGACAGCTCAGGGGTCAAAGTCTTAAGAGGTCACAAATTTTATAAAGCTAATGCATCAACTTAAGCACAAAGGCCCATGACATCTTCGGTGCAATATGCTTTTAACACTTGGGCTTTCTTCCTTCAAGACTTGGACAGATAATGACAGATTATTTCAAGGGTCGTAGGCATATTAACCTCAAAGGGTCCTCGTATAAAGGTGATTATAGTTGGAAGGAACGAATCGGAGTGACAAAAGGGCAAAATCTCAGCGGATCCGCCATTTATAATACCCCGTTGCATATTTAAGTTTTCTGCAAAGGATTCCACCCGCTGCTCGATTGAAATTGTACTTCAAGACGACCAACGCGGCACGTCTACTACAAGGGTTTAGCCAACGAAGCGGATGGCGCGTGCATGTAAATTAAGACATAAATTTTGACGTTGGTGTTCTTTTTGATATCTACTAATGTAGTAAGATGAACAGCTTTAGCAACTTAAATAGAAGAGAATCATATGCACATGCCTGTGGAGCTGCTTCAAATACACGAAACTTCGTATCAAGATTATCGTCCAGCTCAAGAATTGCAGCAACATTTCCACATCTGCAGCATATATCCAAAATTCATAACAAGTGGGAATAGGGAGAAATAAAAGAAAACTAAAGTTCATTACCTGTAACAGTAATTCGGCGCTGACCAGACAGTAACTATGTGGTTGTTAAACATCCATTTATAACCTTCCATTACCAATTGATGGGCTCGACATATGTAGTCAATATTATTTGAATGATTAAAGGAAGTTACAACACTACCACCAAATAAGAAACCAGCACCACGAGGACTCAAACCCCATCCATCAACAATATCTTCTGGATCTGACCATAGGAGATCACACATGGCACCATCATGAGGTACTTCTTGTTTCCGGTCAATTGTTCGAATCTGCAATACAGATTAAATTAATTCCCTTCAAACAAAGGGAAAAGCTAAGGTCATGTTTTGTACACAGTGCTGGGCAGTGTCGCAAAGGACAACAAACTAAATTTTTAACCTCTTTTTCTTCCTTAATCCTATGACCAGTTCAACCAACCAAATGCCGTAAGGTTCTGGATAGTTCGCAAACCTGATCCAATGTGGAAATTGCAGGTGACAGACCACCATGAACACAAAATACTTTGTTTTCTATCAGTGCTGATAGGCTGCAACAAAAGATTGCCAGCAGGACCAAAATGTTATGAAAGCTATAAGTTTCAAAACAAGCCATGTCAACGACAAGCCATGCAAATAAAATGCACAATAACAGGCATATAAGCAGAGGGAAAAGAAAGCATATAAAGAATGTCAGCATAAAAAATATATAGCTTGTGAACTGGAAAAATCTCAGGCATATATTTCTAAAGGCAATGAAAAGTGCATCTTCATGCAACACAGTAAGTTATAAATTTCGTACAGCCTAGTTACACAAACTTTAGTGATACTGCCAAGTTTGCTTCTTTCATTAAATGAGTACCGGGAGATATATCTAGAAATGAGCAAACCTTAAGTAATCAAAAATATCGGTGCAATATCTCCAAACATTCACAGAACCATACTTGCGTAGACACTCATCATAAAATCCATACACCTGAAACCAGAGGAAACCAATAAAGTTTCTTGGAACATAAAAGCTCAAAGGTGATAAATAACTAAGACTAACCTGTGTGATCTGCCGGCTCTCATGGTTCCCCCGAACGAGAGTAATCCGATCTGGGTATCTCACCTGAAAATTCACTATCTTTAGGCTAATTTGTACAGTATACAATTTAGAAACTTTCGGGAAACTGAATATATTAAGAAACTTGAATATGGCTGCAACAGGCATCACAAGAAAGCTGGAATATCTACCATATTACTAATTTACTGTGCAAATAAAAATACCTTTAGGGCAAGTAGAAGCAGAAACGTCTCGACCGAATAAAATCCTCTATCAACAAAATCTCCAAGGAACAAGTAATTTGTCTTTGGACAATCACCTCCTATTTTGAAAAGCTCTTTCATATCATAAAACTGTCCATGTATGTCACCACATATCTGCTTCCAGCGAAGGGTGAAAAAGGACGGGTAATGACTATGTTAGCAATGTGAACGGTGTATTAAAGTTAATTGGTAGAAGAAAAACGACAGCAATATCTTCAGAAGTTGGGAAGATAACAGTTATATTTATATGCTATATAGTTGTAGGCAATTTTATCATAAAAGCACCAACATATGATTTGTGTATTATTTTACATGGAGTAAACAAGAAGGGAGTTTTAAATCTCTTCATCCTTGCTCCCCATGGTTTATTTCAGGATGCCGTGGTTTTTATTTTCTTCTTCTTTGTTGGAGGTGGGTGGTTAAAATTCAATAATAATAATAATAATAATCTATATGAAAGTCAGCTTTTCCCCACCTGTCAGGATTTAGACTTGAGTTTATGTTCTTTCATTGATTCCTCCTCTATTGCATTGAATTATCCTAAAGACTTCATTATTGGTATTATAACAAATAAACGTTTTTGTAAGTACAATATTACTAAAATTAGTAATAGTTATAATAAAATAAAATAAAAATAAAAAACCAAAGGAGCAATATCTCTAATAATAAGGTAAGCTTTCGAGCCCTTTACTTCCAGTAAGGGCGCAGTGAACTGTGATTATGAAAAGTTTGGAAGAGGAAAGAATAATTTCTACACTTTGGGGATGCATATTGCAAAAAGAGGTAAACAGAGAGTTACAAATGAAAATGAAGGAATCAAATCACAATGATGTAATCCTCAAATATAACCAGATGAACCTAAGAAAAATAGAACAGCAGAATGACCTCCCTATTGCCCATAGTGATCGAAGGTAACGTAAACCAGAACTAACTAGAATCGCACTGTCATGTATAAATTCGTAATTTGCAGAATCAGTTCACTGACATTTTTTAATATTATAAAGTTGATGATGGAAATTAAAGCACTTTGCTGTTCAAGCTGATTAATCAAATATTCAGATAGGTATGCTACATTTAAATCTAATTACACCTTGAACATAATCAAAGTCCAAAACTGGGTTCAAATGGAAAGGACTGAGGACTGTAAAAAATTATAATATCCTACTTTAACATCAGTTCTTTTCTCACTGTTTTTTCCTCTTTCTACCACATCCTATTTTCTCATTCGTAATTAACTGAATATCATGTAGTTTTATGCATGCCCACTTTGATATTCTCTGTTTGTCTTAAATTTTATTTATTTGTGCAATTTCCTTGTCCCCTGGATGGCTGGATCCCCCACCCCTCAAACACCATTTTCCTACAGTTATCGACTGCTGAAGAACGGGTCTCAATCCCACCCCCGCTTACTACCAATTCAACAGGTCCGGAAAATAGCTCAGAAAATTACTCGGCACAGCAAATTACAACAAAAAACAAAGCTCAATAGCCATCAGATGATGCCAAATCTCAATAAAAACCAGAAACTTTTCGATCAAATATCACAAATATAATTTTCAGTACTGAAAATATGTTGATTTTGCACTCTTTGTTATTTCACAACCAAAATTGAGAACCAAATCCCCTAAATAACACCCTGCTTCCAGAATACAGAAAAATGTGAGAGACCAAAAAAAAAAAACCCTCAAAAATGGGGTTTAATTTCCAAAGATTAAGTGTCAAATAACTACAAAAACAAAAAGCATACGCCTTTTCGCAAAACCCTCGTGCAATACGTGAACCCAGATCCATCCCTCCACAACCCTTTGCTCGAAAAACAAAATCCAAAACTATTCTTTTAAATATATTTCTCTAAGTGTCTTAAATAACAGAAAAAATCACAGCCCAGAAAAAGACAATAAATAAATTAACGACCAATTGTTTACTTACAGTAACAGGGGCATCGACTCGCTGAACATTACTCTCTTCAACAAGAATTTCCATAGCTTTGAGGCAAAGGGCTTTGACTTCAGCTTCCGTGAGCGGTTCACATCTTTTCAGCTGCTCTATTTGGCGGTCTAGGTCCGACATCTTCACAATCACGGATTCGAACTTGCCGATCCCTCCAAAGTTCCCCTGCGAATTCAGTTAATAAATCCAAATTCTGATTCTGCAATCAGAATATTGAATTTCATGTACTTCCTCTTTGCAGAATTATTAATTTACTGAACTCCCATAGGTGGTGAGTTGAGGTTCATTATTTTTGTGGGCTTTCTTTTTCTCGTATCTTGCTCCCCCACCAGAACTGGATTTTCGAGATTCACGCTGTTTTTGCTGTTAAATTTTCCGAAAATTGGATTTTCACTCACCTCATTTCTAGTTTTATTTCGTTTTGCCCCCATTATATTCAAGCACAACATTAAATTCATTATGCACCACGTTAGCCCTATTAGCTACCTCCATCCCTAATTGAATCATATGAGTTTGAAGCTTCATTTACGGTTTGGTTTTGAAGTCAATACTACAACGTAATACATAGTGTATAGCACATATCAAAAAATTATCTCTAACTTACGTCCAAGAATTAACAAGATTTTCAAATCTCAAATAACAAATACTTATTTTATTGATAGCATATAAAGAAACTACTCATTGCCCCCAACAAACCAAAACCTACACTTTCCAATGTAGATACAACTCGATCCATTTCGAGATCAATTCAATTCTGCCCAACTAATCATTTCCCTCATTATCTGGTAATGCAAACTCCAATGAAGAAGGATCCAAGTGGACTTATAAACTCTTAACATAATTGATCAACATGATAAATTTATTAAACATAGAGTTTAGAAGCATGGCCAATTATTACAACAATCAATCTTTCTAATTACATTAATAGTCACTCATCTTTTACGTGATGAATTAAGTTGAACATATAAGATATGTTAAGCTACTTAATCGTGCAATTTAGATGTGTTGGATGGGCGAAACATGTAGAGCACAAGATTATCTTGTGACAAGGCAAACACAAAAAAATAAAATAAAATAAAATAAATAATAATAATAATAATAATAATAATAATAATAATAATAATAATAATAATAATAATAATAATAATTAAGTTGCATTATGATGGAAAGTCAAGATTAACTTGCAATACTTTTAAAGATAAGGATCAAATTTTACTAAAAGAATAGGTTGGGGAGCTGAAATGCAAGTTTATCATACTTCTATTTTGAAAAAAATCTGCCCAACATTAATTATTAATGATTTCTTGTCTGAATGCGGTGGTGAAGACGACAATTAAGTCGGACAAAACTTGCCGGTAATCGGTGGCGCCGCCTGTGACGCCCCGTTTCAAATAATTCTTAAATATCCTAAGCTTACCAATTATTCATCCTATCATAAACTACGATTCCGCTATTTAGATCCCTGCTTCCGTTTCCAATCAAAAGGGTAATGCATTCCGCCTTTTTCATCTTCGTCACTATCGCAATTTTTTTTTTCAGTTATCATAATAGGTTTGATAATCGATTAAGATTTGACAGAGCTTAATCTTAGTTTAAGCCCTAATTCAATTGTGGCGGTTGAACACATAATCACTTGTAATTCAGCTGCGTTTCTTCTGATTCTAACTGAAATTTGACCTTTTTGAATGTGTTTGGTTTGTGAATTTATGAATTACTGATTGGGCTGTGCGATCTGGTTCGAAAATTATTTACTGCGTTTTCCTTTCTGTTTGGTGGACCTTTTTTTATGCTGCTTATTTATGGCTTACATTAATTAATCTATGTGTGATTAATTGGTGGCATCTGTTTGATCATCTGTTTTAATTCAGTCAAAAATTCTCAAAAGTACTAGAGACAACAGGAAATTTTTTGTTTATTGCTCTGTATACAATTGAGAATCAGGGAATCTACTGATAGAAATAGCGTGGGCATTGATTTCATCTTGGATGCTAATTTTTAGATATTTCAATTTTTTGGAATGTAATACTTTCTTTTACGATTTTTACTATTATACTCGCGATAACCTCGAAACTACTTGGCTAAGCTTTGAAGTTCCTTTAAGTCGTGGCCCCAAAAAAGTGTGGTTAAAAAGCAGGTGAAAGTCGTGGTTCCTAGGAATGTGGATAAAAATTGAGTTTGACCAGCTTTTAATGTATAGATTATGGCATGAATTTGTTCCTATCCTAATTCATGATGGATTTTTATCGATTGAATTGTTTCTTTTAGTTGCTTTCTTGATTATTGAAATACTTATTACTTAGTAAAGGTGTTTTGGAAAACTATGTTGTCTTAATTGCAGACAATGGCAGCTTCTGGGGACTCGTGGGTAAGGGAGTACAATGAAGCAGTAAAACTTGCCGATGACATCACTAACATGATATCAGAAAGGAGTTCATTGCCCGCCACAGGGCCAGAAGCACAGCGACATTCATCTGCCATACGTAGGAAAATTACCATACTCAGAACCAGGCTCGATAGCCTACAGTCTCTTCTTTCAAAGCTTCCTGGAAAGCAACCTCTGTAAGTTGTCTCAATTGGACATCCTTCTGACTTGTTTATTATATTTTCAAGAAATAATCTTAAAGTTCTATTGAATTAAGTAGTCAAGTCTTGAATCCTTGTATAATTTGTAGATTGCATTTATATTTTGTTGCTCTAAAGTTAAAACACTCGCTTAAGCTTAGAGACATGATGTGCACTCATTCATTTACCTTATAAAAACAGAGAATTAATAATAAAGAGCACTTTTGTTTATTATTCCTCAGGACGATGATGAATACAACCTGTACAAACATTTATATGAAAAGGAATAATCACCTTGGCCTATACAATAAGGACACCTGTCATAACAAACTCTCAACAATCATAAATGCAAAAGAATGAGACCTAAACTATTATCTAATTAATCCATGTATTAACTCTTAACAAAGATGTACATTATTGATAAAAAACTAGATAGACTTAACACTTGGTTCTATGTGTTCATTAAATTTCTAATTGTTTTCTCTGGTCATGGTCTTTGTACGGCCCTTGAACCTGCTCGTATTCATATGCAGGACACAGAAAGAAATGAATCGGCGGAAAGATATGGTTTCAAATCTAACTTCAAAAGTAAACCAGATGGCTTCCACATTGAACATGTCAAACTTTGCAGATAGGGATAGCTTACTTGGGCCAGAAATTAAGACGACTGATGTCATGAGCAGAATGACTGGGCTTGACAACTATGGTGGTGTTGGTCTTCAACGACAAATCATTAAAGGTTAGTGACCATAAATCTTTTCTTCAACTTATTTTTTCTTTATCTTTCTTAATATAGGATGACTTTGCTGTTTCATTTCTTTGTGCAGAACAAGACGAGGGCCTTGAAAAATTGGAGGAGACAGTTATAAGCACTAAACATATAGCATTGGCAGTCAATGAGGAGCTTGATCTGCATACAAGGCTAATTGTGTGTTGTTGTATTATAACATACCTGCTTTTTTTCTCGCGCGAAAGCTAATCTTCTGTAGTTTGCATATCGCAATTAACTATTATATTGAAGTTCATTTCTGCTTAATGTCATTCTGTGCAGGATAATCTGGACCAACATGTTGATGTCACAGACTCCCGACTGCAGGTAACCATTCTGTCTAGTACATTTGATAGAATTGTAATAAAACCTCCTCAAGCTGGTCGATAGAATTTTGGCATTATCTTTCATAGCATGTGGTTAACGCAAGTTAATGTCTTTACGCATTTTGATCCTCTTAGTAGTGACATTATAGTATAGACTCGTCATTGTTGCTGAAGTATGCTAGACTTCCGATATTACAAATAGCATATGCACATAAAATAAAGCTTAGTCAAGAAAGTGTAAAATATGCTTGGATAACTTATTTTTTTCTAACTTTTTAAGGGAAAAATGTTATTTATTTTGAAAGTATCTCATACTTTATCAATAAATAAATTGTTTATTGAAAACAAGCTTGTGATTTATAAGTAAACTTTTTAAGCTTAGCCGAACATGGTGTGGGAGAGCTGCTTTCAAGGAAATTTGTGCGAACTAGGTTTAGACCATATCATGCCTATGCATTTTACTTATTTGGACTTTCTCATGAAGGAATATTAATGGAAATTTACTCGGGGAATTTGCAAAACTTGATAAGTATTTATTAACTAATTTGCTGTGTGTCTATTCCAATTACTTTATTTTGTTGGTTTTTTCCCTAAATGGAAACAGCGAGTGCAGAAGAGGCTTGCAATATTGAATAAACGCACAAAGGGTGGCTGTTCTTGCTTGTGTCTCCTTTTATCCATTATTGGGATTGTCGTTTTGGTTGCTGCTATATATATGCTGATCAAATATTTGTAATATAGATAAATGTGGAATTGGAATTTTCTGCTGTCCTTTTGTCCTGGATTAAAATTTAACATTGATGTGTTGGAAAAAAGAACAAGAACAAGAAGAAGAAGGGGAGTGGAATGGCTGTGTTATTTGTGAAGTCGATTGGATTTTAATTCCCGCGTTGTTTGGATTCCTTGTTTGTGGGAGTGATATGATTTGTTTGGATAAATTTCCTGTTAAGCTTTTCAAAATTTTCCAACTTATAATCAACATATTCGTTAGGCTATGGTTCTTATGTACATTTTCATTTTTAGCAACACAGTAGTTTCTATAATCACAACATACCTTGTAACCTTTCTTGATAGGTCTTTAAAAACTTGACTTTTTAAGATAAGTGTTTGTCTTTTTAACCTAAAGTGTTTGTTTGGGAGAAAAGAAAATTTTCCAAGTAAAATTGATTGATTTTTTGGAAAGTGTGGTTAGAAAGTGAAGAAAGGTTGTGAATCCCTATACGGCTTGGTTGAAAATAATTGTGGGCGAAAATCCCCGAACAAACCATAAAGAAGACCTTCCAAAAATGGAAAAAATAAATTGCAATTGGCCTATTATATTTTGCTTTTTCTTCCATTATGCTTCACTATGATTATTTAGTAGATAATGTAATCTGTTGCATAAAGGCTTGGGTACGCTCACACACTATTGATCTATTAAGGCTTGTTGGCAACACTTTCCAAAAGTAAAAAGTTGCTCCTGTTTGGATAGTATTTTGAAATTGTTTTGTGTGGCTAATGGAGCTTTTGGAGGAATCTAATTTAAGATAGTTTCTTTGAAACGCTCTTCTACAATAAAAGTTGTTTCAAACGAGCATTTCATCCTATTTTTGGTTAAAAAATAATCATGGAGATTAGAAACTGAAAGGTGCAGGAAAATTGCATCACAAATGATATTACAAAAATTAATCAAGGATCATAAAATGCAGCTTCGCCCCTTTCTAATTGGAAGCAAAATTAAATTAACATGATAGAAAAATGAAATTTTGAAATAGAGTGAAGACGGCCTAAAAAAAGAGCTTTCGAGGAGACAGTCGAGGAGCACTGGAATTTGAGGCTGATGACTTGACAGAGATGGGAGACTTTGTGCTTTCTTGGCTCCCTGGAACTTTGTCAACTAGCTTTGCTCCTCTTGGGTCAGAAAGGAAAGACTTCTGAAATGATTGTGTAAAACCAGTCGCAATGATGGTTACATGTATCTCTCCATTGTATCTCTCATCTACAACAGCACCGAATATGATGTTCGCAGACGGATCTGCCAAACTAGTGACAACCTGGAAACCAATAGATGAAAATAAATATAAGAAAAGCCATACACCAAACTCATAATCAGGGGGTGGAGTCAGCACCCAGCATGCCATGGTGGCCACCCATGCTGGCTCCACTAAAATTTTTTATTTTTCCATATATTGGGCGGCTGCTCTACTGCCGTCACACACTTACACTCACTAGGTTCGTCCTAGCTCACTTGAATCCCTAGATCAACCACTACTCACAATCACAAACCTGAGAGTTTATAGGCATTCAATTCAAGTGTGCTATTGAAAATCCCAAGTTTTCAATTTAACTGTTTTGAGGAAGATCACATGCACTTGCTACAAAAGAGAAAATAAGAGAAAAGCTCTACATTACCTGCGACACCCTATTCACTTCTTGCAGAGTGATATCCTTTCCGCCAGTAATATTATATACAACTCCAGTAGCAGATTGAATGGAAGAGCCAATCAAAGGAGCCAAAGTTGCCTGTTCTGCTGCTTCTTCAGCACGGTTCTTGCTGGAGGAAACACCCACGCCAAGCATAGCAGTACCAGAATCCTTCATTACTGCCTTGACATCGGCAAAATCCACATTTACCAGCCCAGGTATCTGAAAAATAAGAAAAGGCTCGTCTGTTAGTTTGTCTCAGTTGCACGCATAAACTTCAGGTTTGGCTAAGCTTTGAAAAAAGATTTCTCTTGAAGCAATAACACGTTGATCTAGTTGCCACTGGAGCCAGAAAGGACTCTCCAAATTGATTTGTTTCCAGGAAAAGGCAGAATATTTGATGGAAGGTTGGGGAATCCTTTTGAAAAACCCGTTCTAATAGGAAAGCCTTAATAAGTTACGTGTAAGCAACTTTCGTTTCTAAACATGTTTGAATTACTTTTAAGTTTTCAAGTAAAAAACTTCACTGTAAGAATAAGCAACTTATTTATTGCCAACTTTGACCAATAAATAAATTAATTTCGAAACTTTCATTTTTTTTTTAAAAATCATTTTAAAACTGATGGAAAGTGTCTCATAAAATGTGGCCTAAAGCCACAATATGGAAATATTTGATTGCAGCAAGCTGTATTGATATTTAAAACTATTACGGATTTTGAATGTAGTCAAAATCCCAAGTTCCAACATTCATTACTGAATTTCCTTGACATCAAAGCATGGCATACATGAAGAATGGAAAAATTAACACATTCCAGTGATGCACAAGTTTTCAGTAAATGTCAAAATGTTGTTATAGAGCTAAAATGAATCACAGGTGGTCAAGATTCAACACCTCATAAAGCACATGGTTACATAAAATCACTCACTGTAATTATATCTGATATCCCTTGGACACCCTGCCGCAGCACATCATCGGCTAGAAGGAAAGCATCCTGCAGGGCAGTCTGTTCATCAGCAATATCCAGCAGACGATCATTTGGGATCACTATCAGTGTATCCACATTTTTCTGGAGTTTTTCAATAGCTTCCAGAGCCTAAAAAATTTGAAAAATGCAATTAAAGTTTGAACGATAAAATTTTATTGTAAATTTGATACCAGAGAATTTTGCATCTCACCAAGAATCAGTATTTATGATGAGAAAAGCAATAGAGGACACAACAGCTATTTTTCTGTTAACCTTCATAATCTAGGCGAATCTAAAAGGTAAAAATATACAAGAAGAAACGGTTTTTATAATGAGAAAAGCCAAGACTCAACTGTTTATTATTCCATTAACCTTCACAATCGAGGTGAATTTAATAGGTAAAAATATACATGACTAAGAATTTCCATGCCTCAAAAGG